TGACACAGACCGGACACACAGACCGGACTGGGCACTTCCCAACCTTTACTGTCTTGAAGCCAAGGTACAAACCACGTTGCCAGCCTGTGTGGCCATGCCTCCTGGCCACTGAGCTATTTATATTAGCTCATCCACACCAAGCCCTATCACGTGGGTATTTCCCCTCCTCCACATGTGTGTGCCATACGTGTATGCGCACATGCATGTAGAGGCCATAGGTCGCTGATGGGTCTCCTTTCTATTATTCTGCAGCATATTTTGAAGAAAGATTTATTTTTATTATTTGTATATGAGTGTTTGCCTGCATTTTTTGTACATGTGCTATACGCATGCCTGGTACACACAGTGGCCAAAAGAGGATGAGCTAGAGTTACAAGAGGTCATGAAGCATCGTGTGGATGTTGGGAATTGAACCTGAAACTCCCGTAAGAGTAGGAAGTGCTCTTAATCCTGGAGTCATCTTTCCAGCCCCCTAATCCTTTTTTTTTTTTTTTTTTTTGGAGACAGGGTCTTTCACTGAACTGGGAGCAGCTCATCAGTTCAGCAAGACTAGCTGGCTAGTGACTGCCAGAAATCCTCCTGCCTCTGCCTCTGCCTCACTAAAGCTAGGGTTACAAGTACAAGCCATTACATCCAGCTCTTTACTCAACGGGAGGGATTCCGACACAGAGCCTCATGGGAGTGCACGGGAGTGCTTGACCACTCCCTCTCCATTTTTATAGACTGAGACTCTAAAACTGAGGAAAACGAGGAAACTGAGACACGGTGACATCACAGGGCCAGCTGGTGGGAGTTGGCGTTCCGAGCCATTTAGTCTGACTCCAGAGCCTGTTGCCCCTTTCGCTTCTTCCCTACACCTCTGGGCCCCAGGGAAGAGCAGAAGGGGGACCACTCCACAGTTTTCTCTCCACCAGCATCCTATAGGTGACCGCACATAGTGAAATGAAAGATGGGATATGGAGTTCTTTCCAAACAATCCTTTCCTACCTATAATCCTTGCACAGTATACCCAATTCTTTCCAAACTTGGGCTTTGCCCCTCCTCAATCCCATGTTTTCTTTGGGTATAAATATAGAGCTCTCCTTATTTGCCTAACTTTCAGAATTGTCGATCCTGGTCCACAACCATCTGGGTTGTGTCCCTCTTTGTACAAAAAAGCCTTTGTCTTCTTATGAAAATAATCAGGTTCTACACATAAATGTACCCAGCATAAGAGGCAGTGGGGTGAGACTGCCTCACGGAAAAAGAGAGCAGTACATTTCTTTGCATTTGAATACTTCCAGGACCTTCTTACCTTGGAAGCAAGCCAGCTCTGGGTTAGACCCCAGAATTCTCACTCTTTATGGTGCCACGGGCCTCTGGAAGATCTGCTGAGTCTTGTGTGCCTCTTAGATATTTTTTTTTTAATGTGCAAAATTGGACCTTAGAGGGACAGCGGGATTAAATTATGTGGAAGTAGGGTCGCCGAAAATATCGGCGCAGTAGCACTGTGTTTTTACATTGTGCTGAAGAGCAAGATTCAGCATCGGGCTGAGTTTTTATCATTCTGATTGATGAGGAAAATGGTCTGTGCACATGTCAGCAGCTGCTGTCATGAGATAGGAAAATATCTGTGGCTTCTGCTGGTGATGAAATAACAGGTGCTGTTAATGTTAGTGGGCCTTATTGCATGTGTTCACCAGGAAGGACTACTGAATTTCAATAAAAAGGGAGGGAGAATACAGAAACTCCTTCCTCCCTGGCTTTACGTTCTAGAGAATTCTAGTTCTTGCCAGCTTGAGCCTGGGACTCCAGACCACATGACATCTCTTGCTTGCCTGTGATGGGGAGACCAAAGAACAGGTTCCGAAATGATGACATTACTCTCATTGCCAAGGCTGGAAATTCATAATTTATAAAATTGATGTTCTGGGTAGCTGACTCTCCAAGAACACTTGCTACGTAGCCATGTGCCTGTCTTTGTGTTGAGAGGTGTCCGTGAGAGGTGAGCGCTGTTACTCTTTGTGCAAATGAGAAGAAGAGGCTGAGAGACAAAGACAGAGCTCCAGGTCCAGGCTGCAGGTTTGCTTCATGCCCCGGCCTTCCCGCCAAATCAAACACATCCCACACATGCCCAAACACATTTTTTCAAAAGATTTCATTTTGAAGCCAAGCATAGTGGTGTATATACCACTAATCCCAGCACTGAGGAAGCAGAGGCAGCAGATCTCTGTGAGTTTGAGGCCAGCCTGGTCTATATAGTGAGTTCCAGGGCAGCCAGAGCTACATAAAGAGACCTGTCTTTAAAAAGTATCTTATTTCATATTTAATTATGTATATGTGAGGGGGTATGTGTATGTGAGTGCAGTAACTAAGCAGGCCGGAAGAGGGTGCTCCGGATCCCTGGAAGTTAGGGTCACAGGCAGTTATGAGCCTTCTGATAAGGGTGTTGGAAATGAAGCTTAGGTCCCTCAGCAAGGCCAGATCTGACTCTAACCACTGGGCCATCTTTCCAGGACCCTTGTTTTGTTTCTGAGGCCAGGTCTTGCTGTACGACTCAGGCTGTTCTCAAAATGCTCTCTTGCTCTGAAGCCTAAGCTCCCCTCGAGCTTGCAATCCTTTTGCTTCTGCCTGTCTAGTGCTGGGATAACAGGTGTGCACCGACACACCCCCTCCCTTAACACCATTTATTTTAGACTTGAGATGGCTCATAACAAAGGTGAAGTAGTAATAATAGTCTACCTAACAGGGGCAGACTATTCATATTTAGGAATCTTTATATCATCGCCATCATTGGTGTTATGATCATCAGAGCAATGGCTAATCCTAATCACTTATTTTATTCCAAATAAAGGAGCTATTGTTCAAAGGTGTTAATTCATTTGACCTCCCTAACAACAGGTTGCTATGGTTTGTATGTGGCCTGTCCCCTTAAGGAGTCATGAGTTGGAAGCTTGAACCTCAGAGTGTCAATGTTGGGAGCTGGTGGAACCCTGAAGGAGGCTCTGGAGAAGATAGGTCAGTGGGGAGCATTGTCCTTAGAAGGGATTAATTCATTCCACTCTCATGATTCCATGAGAGTTCTCAATAGAGTGGGTTATTATAGAAGAGCTAACCTGGTCCTGTCTGGCCATGTGATTGCTCCTTCTCAATTATGTGCCACGATGGCATCCACCATCCTGTGATCTAGCTGAGGAGACATCTGTCAGAGCCCAAATAGGTAGACGTACCCCACCTTGGCCTTCTAGCCTCCAAAACTATGAACTAAATACCTTTTCTTTACAAAGCACCCAGCCTCAGGTATTTCATTGTAGCAATAAAAAATGAACTAATGCACAGGTCATATTATTATCATCCCCACTTCAAAGATGAAGACACTGAAGTTAGAGACACTGATTAAAGGTCACACAGCGATCAAGACAGAATCTGAACCACAGAAATGTGGCTGTGGCATCTTCTCCTTCTTTTCCAGTCAATGGTTTTTATTGAAGTATAGCATGTAATTATCAAGGAGCATAAACTATGCCCCATGGATGTTTATAGCGAGCACAGCACTCAGATCAAAGAGTGGAAACGTACCAGCACTCACCCCTCCCTGGAAGTCATTAAGCACTCCCACCCTCCACCACCACAGCCTTTGCTCTCTTAATTTTTAGCACCGTTGATTTGTTCTCTCCTGTTTTGAATTTATGTAAATGATATGTCATTCTTTACAGTTTTACTCCTCCTCACTGTAATGATTTCGGGGCCTAGACAGTAGCCTCCAATTCCCAGTCTCTGAGGAAGCTGAGATCTCCAACAGCTCAGCAACCCTCGGATCCCGAGTGCCAAAATGTGATGGAAGTGGGATTCGAACCAGTGTTTTGGGGGCTGATTGATTTTGCTGCCCTGGTGGCCCCGGCTTCAGTTTCTGCTGGCATGAAGACCGGGAATATCTGTGTGTGAATGAAGCATTTAACTACCCGCCCTAAACTGATCCCAACCATCCTGGCATTGCCCTTACTTTCCCCGTGCTTGGCAACAGCTCTCTCCACCCAGGTGCCTGACTTCCTCCTTCAAGGACCCACTGTCACTTTTGGGCAAGACTGACATGCAGCCAACACACTCTCTCTTCCTCTCCCAGCCTTCTGCAGGCACGTGAGCACGCACACATGCACACACACACACACACACGTTTATTGTCTATCTACCCCCTTTAGTACTAAGTGCTTCTTTGGGACTGAGGAGATGACTCAGTAGGCAAAGTGCTTGCTTCACAAGAATGAAGACCTGAGCCTGGACCCCAGCACCCACAGAAAAGCCGGACACACTGAAAGCCAGAGACAGGTGGATCCCAGAAACTTGCTGGCTAGACAGGGTGCCCCAAACAGCAGCTCCAGGTTCAGCGAGAGAGCCTATCTCAAAAAATGAGGTGAAGAGTGATAGAGGAAGACATCCAATACCAACCTCTAACAAACATACGCATGGGTAAATGTCTGTGTGCATGTGTGCACACACAAGCACACACACACACACACACACACACACACACACACACCCTGCCCACATACAGAAAATGTTTCCCCACATGTTCTGACCTTATTTTCAGATTTATATAGTGCCCAGCAGGTACTTGATACAGTCTGAAGTGAAAGGAAAAATTAACCAGCATGGAACTTCCCCCACCAAAATACAAAAGCCCTTGTGAGGGCAGGATACACTGGGTTTAAATCTGGGGACCACGCTGTGACTGCAGCCAACATCAGCAGCAGCCCATCTGCTGGCCCAGGGATCATGGAACTCCTCCCTGACCCTTCCCAGGGTAAGGCTGCTGTGGTAGCCTCCTGCTAGGGACACTAGCCAGCCAAAATGCCTGGTCCCAAAGCTTCACAGAGGAGACCCAGCTACCAGCCCAGAGGCAATAGGACTCTTGTGTGCTGCGGGCATTGAGGAGGGTGTGGGCACAGGCAAATGAGCTGCATCACTCGCAGATATAAAGGACTGCTGTCATCAGGCCTCACATCCCGTCTGCGTTCACCAGGATGGAGGGCGACCCAGAGGATCTGGGCAAGGCACCGGAGGAGACAGGGGATGGGCGGGCCTTGGCTGAGATCCAGGAGCTGGCTCTGAAGTGGTTCATGGAGACACAGGCCCCCTCTATCCTGCAGAACGGAGCTCTGCCACCCTGGTTTCATGGATTCATCACCCGCAAGTAAGGCTGCCCTTGATCACATGACCAGCATAGTCTGCAGCTCCTAGAGGCTGAGAATATGGCCCAAGGACGCTAGAACCCTGGGCTCCTGACCTTTCCCTCACTAGGCAGGACCTTGGGGGGGAGAGGGGACAGACTAAGGAAGCTTCTGAAGGCAGGTGTGGGGTCTTCGGTAGTTGCTGCTCTGGGAAGGACAGAAAGACTTCGTGGGAGCTGGGCGTGTTTAGATGAGTTCCCGGTATCTCGGTGAAAGTTACGAGACCGCGCCATGCACCAGCGCTGGAATGCCACTGGAGCTGAGCTGAAAAACTGTCCAGGAAATCTAGACACATGGCTAACCTGACACAGAGGCAAGAATGTAGGAGATGCATTGCGGTTGAGCTAGACTGCCAAGCTCCCCGAGCACTAGATGAGGGAAGGAATGAAGAGCAAAGCCCACCAAGTCCTGGCCCGATGCCTAACACAGAACCAGAGAGTGTTTTCTGGACCACAGAAGACTGTGTGTTCAGGGGGCCCTGCACCCGCTTAACGCCCCGCTGCCACTGTCTTGCTACTCCTCATTTGGAAATAAGAGGTCTCAAGTGTTCATTCGGCACTGATCCCTGAAAACTATGAGGGCAGTTCTGACTAGAGTAGACATTCAATGGAGTATTTGGTGAGTATGTGGGTAAGCAAATATAGGGTCTGTGTTCTGCCAAGCCACAAAAACAAAATCAAAAACAAAAAAAGAGCTAGAACTGTCCACCATGTCTCCAAAACACTAGACACCAAGGGATGGAGTGAGTTCCTGTAAGCTTCTCTTGGAACCAGGCTTGAGACACAGCAGAAGCTCTTTGCTCCAGAAATGCCTACAGGGCGTGCATCTAACACAGCTGCACCCTTAGTCCCAAGAGAGGGATTCCTGACCGTGCAAAGGTCTCCAGCTGTGTGGCATCCTTCTTCCTATATAGTTATCCAGGTGGAGGGCAGGGAGCTGCAGGTGTGCCTACTGTACCTGCTGGCAAGGCTGCAGAGGGAGTGGAAGGTGCCTTTGGCCTCAGGACTTGCATCCAACTCCCGACAGAGTCTTTAGTTAGCTCACTTGAGCCGGGACCAAGCACAGACTGTGCCTTGAGAGACCTCAGAGTCAGTCAAGGGTCTGAGAAGGTTCTCTATCAAGGCCATGGCTTGCAAGGATCCTGAGGCAGGTCTAATTCAGGCTGCTTGGTTACTATGAGGGTACACACCCCAGTTAATGGCATGTCCTCTGTCCAGGCAGACAGAGCAGCTACTCAGGGACAAAGCTCTCGGTTCCTTCCTCATCCGCCTCAGTGACCGGGCTGTCGGCTACATCTTGTCTTACAGGTAAGTGAAAATCCCTCCTTGAAGGGATAGGCAGCCTCAAGGTTCCAGAACCTGCTGATGAACAGGGAGGTTTGGAAAGCCACTGTCTGGTTTTCCGTGGGCCCTGACCCCATGATTCATCCATCCCATGTTTTGCCAACCCTTTCAGAGCAGCAGCACTGACTATATGCCAGGGATGGTACTGCAGCCTTCAAACGGGTAAGGGGAACCAGATAAAGCCTCTTCCTGGTGGGCACAGATGAACTCCAAGCCCAGGAGAGGAGGAACAGGTATTAGGTAGTGGGAAGAAGGCATGGTTGGGTATAAGGATGTTTTCCAAGTACATGGACTGACATGAGCAGAAGTGCAAGACTTTGAGAGTCACAGATCCTTGGGTGCAGCAGAAGGCAAAGTTTCTGGGAGCAGGATAGCCTTGGATGAGAGGTATTGCCACAGAGAAGGGATCCAGGCAAACTGCCACTTCACCAGGGCCCTTCTAATGGCATAGGGGGGAGATCTGGAGATAGTCTGGAGCTGTGAATACCACGTGGGGGAGGGGCACGCCACTGGTGGGCTATGAAGATCTTGGGTCTTACTAATGTAAGGCCATGAGACCAAAGAGGAAGAAGCAGGCACCTACTACGACGTCGGAGGTGATGACTGAACCCTGGCCTGAAATCAGGCTGAGTTGGGAAGGTCAAGGCTTCCCTCTGGAGACCTGGAAGGAGGCCAGGGCTGCAGGGCAAGCTTCCAAGTCTTCAGATCCTGATTCAAAGCATGTGCACAGAGTCACCTTGTTCGGGTCCTAACCTGGAGGAAGTGTCTTTGGCTCTCTGTGCCTGTGCCATCTCATATGTAAAACGGGAGTATTCTAGTTTCCTGTCATAGGATGGTTGCAAGCGCACAGTAGGATGACAGATTTGAAAGTGCCCAGCCCAGTAACAAGACATGGAAGGGCTAAACAAATGTTAATCATCGCTCAATTTTCATTTTTTTTTCTCCTATTTTGAGCACTCTGAAATATAATGACTAAGCATTTTAAAAAACTCTTTTTGGTTTTGGTTTTCCTGTATTCCGTGTTTCTCTGAGATTCTCTCTCCCTCATGGGACCTCAGAGAGAATGCCACCTTATAAAAGATAGCAAGCAGAGCTGCTCAAAGAAATGTAAATAGTGAAAAGGGGTAGACGACTCAGACTGTTGACTCCCCGATTTGCATCGGATGTCGTCATTCCTGTTTTCCCTATAATTGGCAAAAGCACTTGGATATCCAAACGGGGAAAAAATGGTCACTGCCTCATATAAGGTACAAAAATTAGTAATTCTACAAGGATCATAGATCAAAAAAAAAAAAAAAAAAAAAAAAAAAACCTAGCCAGGTCCAGTGATGCGTGCCTGTAACCCTAGCACTCTAGGAGGCAGAGGCAGGGCAGAGCTCTGTGAGTTCATGCCAGCCTGGTCTACAAAGTGAGTCCAGGACAGCCCAGGCTACACAGAGAAACCCTGTAAACAGAGAAAGAAAGAAAAACAGAAAGGAAAAGAAAACAATAACTTTTCTAAAAAGAAACAGAAAAAATATGTCCATAAGTAAACAAAGTGCCTATGAAAATAGGATAAACAAAAAATTCTTAGACACAAAAAGCACTTGCTATAAAAGACTGATAAATTTGGATGTGAAGGCAATCTGGCCATAACATCTATGGCCCGATTGATGGCCAGCATTGATTCAGTTGCTCTGGCTGGCTCCAGTGTCGTCTTCCTCCTCACTACGACATACGAATCTCTCCTGAAGCACGCTTTGTTGAAGAGGGCAAGCTTCCCGAAATACAGAAAGAATGATCTTTGCTCTAGAATCCCCAAACAAGCTCTCCAAAGACTGATGGATTTGATTTCCTAAATAGTGTGTGTGTGTGTGTGTGTGTGTGTGTGTATTTTCCTCCACTTTGCCCCTGTTACTCTTTGGCATATTCTTAGTTGAGATGAGTAAATGCATTCACCAAAAGACAAGTATAACAAGCCAGGCTCAGCGGTGCATGCCTGTGAGCCCAGTGCTCAGGGAGACAGAGGTAAGAGGATCTCTGTGAGTTCGAGGCCACCCTGGCTACAAGTCCAGTGAGTCCAGGACAGCCAGGGCTACACAGAGAAACCCTATTTTAAAAAAAAAAAAAAGCAAAACAAAGGCAAGCATAAACAGTTATATTTATAACAACCTCATAAGCAAATAGCTTAAATACCCAATAGCCTGTAGGTTTTCTATCAAGTGAGACACTGCACACAACTTTTAAAAGAAGGAACATCTGCTTGGACCTAAGTGAATCTGAAAATGCCTTCCGTGAAGGAAGTGAGACACAAATGAGGATTTTTGCATAATTCTCATTTATTGAGGTTCCATAATGGAAGAAACAGAGTCTCGGCAGTAGGGGTCAGAAGGAGGCCGCCCGTGGATGCTGGCAGGGCGGGGCTGGGCAAGGCTTTGTATCCTGATCTGCATGTGGTTACATGGGCATTTTTATGTGTAGAGTTCATCCTGCTGCACTCCCAGGACCTGTGCTCTGGGTTTAAATCAGTCTCCCATTACAAGGACGGTGAAGAGGGCAGGGCTTTATAGGAGGGGGAGGGGTCCGCTGTTCCAGAGGACGGGGCTTGGGTGAAGCCGCGTGGTAAAGGTGCAGGCTGGATCTTGTTTTTGTCGGAAGTGTTGATGTTTCCTTCCTCACTGTTTCTGTGTGTATGGGTTTGTTGTCTTCTCTCATTTTGTTCTTCTAAATACTGCATTAATTAAGCACGGTAGCCCATACCTATAAGTGCCAGCACTGGAGAAGCTGAGGCAGGAGGATCCACTTCAGTTTGAGGCCAGCCAGCCTGGGCTACACAGTAAGATCTTCTCTCAAAAACAATGAGTAAATAAGTAAAGGATTTAAAGTTAAAATAAGCCAGTAAATAGGGCTAGCGGGGGGAGCATGCTCGGAGGTCAGCATTTGCCCAGCATGTGGGAGACGCTAGGCCTGATCCCCAGTACCACAGAAACAAGCCAACAGGTAAATTGTTGCGTGGGTAGACCTGATGAGCCAGAGTTGGGGGTACCTTTTAAATTTTGTCTCAGTGAGTGTCTCAATCAATCTAGCCCTAGCCATGCCCTTCCTGAGAATAAGCTCAGGTCCTTCCCAAGGCCCCAGACACTTGAAGTGGCCCCTTGCTTCCCCAAGGAACACCACAGATGCGCATGGGCAGTGCGGCCTTTGGTCAGATGAGTCTGTACTGAACCGAGAGATGATCCTCTCCGATACTCAGGGGCAAAGCAGGCAGAGGCCAACCCAGCCTATGTGTAATTGTGTTTCAGGGGTAGTGACCGCTGCCGTCATTTTGTCATCAATCAGCTCCGAAACCGACGCTACCTTGTCTCAGGAGACACCCTCAGCCACAGAACGCTGGATGAGCTCCTGCGCCATTACCAGGAGGTGCAGCTTGAGCCTTTTGGGGAGACCCTTGCTGCTGCTTGCCCACGGGTTAGGCACTCTTCTTGCGGGAGTGAGGGTGATAGGATGGGGTGTCCAGCCTTCGGGTAGGAATCACACAGGCGCATGCTATCAGGGGAACTCAGAGGAGTCATGGCCCTCTTTCAAAAAAGACTCTTACCCAAGGTCAGAAACCTAGCGGGGTGTTTCTGGCCCTTCTCTGCAGCCCCTGGCAGGCAGTGGGAGACTGCCAGTGACCATATACCTGTTCTATTCCCCACTGCTCCAGCTAGAGGAAAACGATCTGTACGACGCTGTCAACACGGGCCTCCAGCAGACTAATCTGGGCCTGGAAATTCCAGCCATGGAATTTCCCGTCGTGGTCCCGGACAAGGCCACCAGCCCCCGACTTGCTCCAAGGCCCCAGGTCTCCTTCCTGCACACCAAGAAAGCTCTAGATGTGAGTCCCCGGACTGTCTCAAAAGAGGAAGGTGCAGAGGTGAGGAGGGTTCTGAGCTACACAAGCTGATGGCGGCGAGCCCAGAGTGTGGGGGCTGGAGGAGGTGGGGGGACATACCACAGTCAGGTCCTTAGACTCCACCAGAGCAGTTTCTGCAGACACAGCGGGTGAGCGTCAGGCCCACAGTGGGAAACAACAACCCAGAGCCAGTCCCTGGGGATCCGCCAGTGCTAGGCCTGCCCTGGTCAAGCCTAGACTAGGCATTTCCATTTTCTCACTGGGAGGCTTTGCGGGAGTCCTGGGTTCTCTCTGAGTCTATTTACCGTTCCTGAAGTTCCTGCGAGGTCTCAATGAGATGGTTATGAGATACCTGGAAATCGCTTAGCAAACTGTGAAGTGCAGTATCTTTATGATGGGAAACATAGAACACAGAGTGCCGAGCACCTCTTCCGCTCAGAATAAAACCTAAGCTCCCTAGCATCCTGAACCTCCCTGCCATCCTCACTGTGCCTCCACTGGCCTTCTAGATCTTCCTTAAACCCCTGAGGCTTTTAACTTGCTGCATGCTCTGCCCAGCTGCTCTCTTTAACAGAGTGATGTCACTTATACTGTATTCTGTCTCACCTGGCTTCTATTCCTACTGCATGCCATCTCTCCTCCAAAAGGCCACCTGACCCACAGAGCATGTCACCTTTCCCACCTGTTATTCTCTCTTCTCACGTTAGCTGCTTTGCTCTCCACAGCACTGATCCTGATCTGACATGACATTACTCATGACGCATTCATGTACCATATACTACATCAAGTCCTTCTACACTCTGTAACACAGCCTCGTGGTGCTTGTTTCCAGCTTAGAATGTAAACTCAAGCTGGTACCGGGACTTACACTGCCTGTCATGTAGTTGGTACTCAGGAAATAGTTGTTAGAAGGACCCCTGGGCATAAGCTCCTCATGGAGCCCCGTGAGAATCAGTGGACCATGCTGGAGCAGGAGGACCAGGCAGGGCTAGTTGGGCTGGCTGTTGAGCTGATGGCTAAGGCCTTGGGTGTCAAGGTAAAGGCTACTTAAGAGTCATAGAGCCAGGAAACCTGAAGGTTATAAATAAATCCTTGCAAGTGATAGCAAACTGAGGCAAAAGAGGGGAAGCTCAACTTATCAATAGAGCTCAGGGGGTCTGAGGTTTGAAGTTATGGTAGCAATGGGATGCTTTAAAACATTCTCTGTCACTCTCCCCCAGGCACCCACTAGAGTGCCCCCCATTCCCCAGAGGAGCCCTTCTCTTCTGGATGAGCCTTCTGCAGGCCCCAGTGACATTATCTATGCAGACCTGAAGAAGATGAACCGGGCACAACTAAACCTGGGCACAGAGGTATCTGGCAGGCACGGGCCAGTTCCAGCGGGCAGCCTGGCTTGTTCCCCAGACAGGGAGCCCTCAGGGAAACTCTCAAATGAAGATCAGAACAGGCCCAATAGCCTGGGGCCTGCCCCATCTGGAGTAAAACCAAACCAGGGCTCTACAATGCCTTATGCTTCATTAGGATTCCCCCAGCCCCCCAATTTGGAGCCCCTGGGATCAAGGGCTACTACTTGGAGGCAGGGGTTCCTAAAGCTGAGCCATGAGGCTCAGTCCACCTCTGAGGCCAGCTCTACCGATACCTACCAGCTTGTTGGCACAGCAGCAGGCCCACAGCAGGAGGGTAGGGACAGACCAGACAAAGGAGGCAGTACCTATGAGCAGATTCCAGCCTGCTGGCATGGCCCTGCCAAGTTCCCATACCCAGGAGTCAGTCCCACATACAGCCAGCTCTCAGAGCCTTCGAACTGTGGCCATGAGAAGATCTCGGGGAGCTCTCAGCTGCCAGAGCCAGGAAACACCTATGAGCAAATCCCAGCCTCCAAGAACAAGGACACTGGACGGGTGCCCAAGGTGAGTTCCCTGAGGGAGTGGGCGATGGCACACACCTTTAGTCCCATCACTAGGGTAGCAGAGGCAGGAGGATTTCTGTGAGTCTGAGGCCAGCCTGTCTTACACAGGGGGCTCTGGGACTCCAGGACTACATAGAGAGACCCTGTTTGGGGGCCTCAAACGTGAGCCAATGCTCGGAAGCGCCCAGAACTTCTCCACCTGGTAAGTTCAGGGTGAGAGAAGCAGCTGCTAGATTTCCGGGTGAAACCACCTAAGCGCTTCCTCCATGGCAGAGCACCCTCGGCCCTTCTTGGGACCCAGGGCAGGCCCCCACTGGGAGGTGGCAAGGAGGACGCCCTTGGCCCTAGTCATGAAGAAGCAACTGTAGCTTCTGGCTTTGGCCAAGCCCATTTCCCTGGAGACTAAGCTACCAAATTCAGCAAGATAAAATACAAGGCATCTAGTTAAATTTGAATTGGACCTAAACCAGTAGTTTTCATAGGTCTTAAAAAATCATGATGGGGACTGACAAGATGGCTCAGTGGTTAAGGGCACTGGCTGCTCTGCCAGAGGACCTGGGTTCAATTCCCACTGCAGCTCCCACCTGTCTATAACTTCAGTTACAGGGGATCCAACAGCCTTCCACAGACATACAAACCATACATGCAGGCAAAACACATGAAATAAAAATAAATCAATCATTTCTTTTAAGTTTAAAAAAAAAAAGAAAAGAAAAACAAAACAAAATCATGATGGTTTCTTAGTTACCTAGAATTTGGATTTCACTGGGCAGCCTGTATTGTTACCTGGCAACCCTACCCAGATTCTCTTCTTGCTCATCTGTAAAATGGACTGATCATCCGGTTGTGCTAAGGGCAGCTGCCCAGGGAACAGTGCCCCACATCCTCTCTTGACAAGACACTGTCAGAGCCCCTGGGCGTGACCCCAGTGGCTCTTGGTGAACAGGGTGACTATTTCTGAGGATTCAGGGTAGAGAAGAGGAGAACATGGCGAGTAAAGAGGCAGTTGGCATGGGGCTGGTTCTGGGTCCCCAGGGTGGCACATGAGCCACAAACCCCTCCCCACCCCTTGGCTGCCTATATTGGCAAACAACAGGAGGGGAAAGGTATCTTCCTGTGGACACAGCCTCAAGTCCCCAGAAACCTGAAACCTCCCTCCCCTGGCCTGAACAAGGGACATCCTGAGCTAAGGACCAAAAGCCTCTAGGTGACCCAGCTCCTCCCTCAGGGCAGGGCTGTGTCCTCTTAGCCCCATCATTTTCTGAGGTGTTGACCCTCTAACTGGACTGTCCTTTGAGGACTCCAGAAGCCATGCCTGCACTTCCCCTAGGTGTTCCTATGTTTTCCACTAACCCTGGTGGTCCAGTATATGATCCCTCTCCTCCTCCATCTTTGCCACCAGGCTACAGCAAGGCCCCAGATGGGTAGGAGGCAGCAGGATATGAGCACATATCCAGGAGGGAAGATGATGCTCTGCAGTATTTTCCACCTTTTCACATTCTTCCTTTCCCTCTTACCCCTCCTTGGCCAGACAATGGCAAATGTTCATCTTAACTTTGAAGACTGAAAGTGGAGTTTTGGGGCCCTGGGAAAGAAATGTGGGGGCCACATCAGCATTGTATTCTGGCATCATTTGTCTAGCTTGGACCCTCACACCAGGCCTGAGCTGAGAGCCTTTGAATCTGGGTCTTTCCCTCTCCACTGGGGAGCCCAGCCCCTAACATCTTTTCCCTCCTTCCAGCCTGACAAGTTTCGGAGGCTCTTCTTCACAGACAAGAAGCACAGATTCTGAGGAAGGCCCAGCATATAGAGGGTTTCTGGGTGTCCACACTACACCAAGGATTACTGGTTCCCTCTGCTCACCTGAAGGTGTGACCCAGCCAGCCACTATGGAAGCAGGCTCTGGGATGCAGCCTAGATACCTCTCTGGGAAGGTCTGGGAGAGGCCCGGCAGCAGCCTGCAACTCCTGGATGTGTCCTCAGTGCTGTCTGTCCACACAATGAAGGAAATGAGGGACCACCTAAAGGGAGGGTTGGATGAACACGTAGAGGCCTGGGCTGATCGGCCAAGCTTGCCTCACCCCTCAGATACTTAACAAGCATGTGGCAGGCCCCTTGCCAAGACAGACATTTTCCCAACTGGCTAAATGACATTACACTATTACTTCTGAGAACAAAACCAATTCCCTTCCTCATGGTCTTGCCGGAAGATGGGAGGAGAAGGCCAGGAGCCACACCTTCTGCACCTGCCCCAAGAGGATATCAGCAAGAAGCTTGGGATATAGCAGCCAGGGCCCAGCTTCAAAAGCCATGGCTCTGACCTAACAGCTGGATGGGCTCCTGGGATCCGCCCCATCTCTTCCTGCCCTACTTCTCCTTCTTTATCCTAGCTTCACTATGCAAACTCCTAGATTATGCTAGAGCCACTTGTTTGAAGATGTAGCTGGTGGGGGTGTGAACAGAGACTCCTCCTTAAGGCAGGCTTAGCCGTGGGAGGTACCGCTGGGCAGAATCTAGAGCCAATCGGGACATTTGATGCCTTGCCTACGATGCTGCTTACCCCTACCTGCCCTCTGCCTCCAGCCAGCCCTGACCTTTGGGTCAACTCAGATTCCTCCCATGCAATCCACCACCAGCCTGGCAGTTTTACCTGCAGTGAGTACCCAGGGCTTTGCCCAGGCACCAGTTTGGGAGTAGGGCACGCAGGCCTCTTGCCTCAGCTGTCCCCTTGGCCACAAGCTGGCTCTTCCAGGGACCTTTCCTGTTTTGTGCCACTCCCCCTCAATCATGTGTCCCCACACCCATACAGTCTGCTGTCATCTGTCTACCCTGACCCTATACGAAGGAAGCAGGAACCAAGACCACAGTTCCCCTCCCCACGTGCCTTCACCCAGGCCCCGGGGAAAACAGACTCAGTGCACATTTGTGGGGAAAGCCATTCCTTGGAAGGCTTTTGCTTGATGCTCTTTTTTCCTCTAAACTCTAGAAGTCTCTTTCTGCTGGGGATGGCAGCGAAAGGTTTAAGAGAAGTAGCTTAGCCTGAAACCTTACATTGGAGAGCAGTCTATTAGCCAGACAAAACTACTACAATCCTCACCCAACACCCTGAAACCAAAGCTAGCATCCAACACCTAGGACAACGTTTCACCCAGGCTAAGGCTTCAGGGACTGTCTGCAGAGGTTCCACTGGGCATGCTCAGTGCTGACAGACACAGAGAGTGCAGGACACCAAAGTGTTTTATTTCTAGGAATTCACAAATCTGAGGTCAGCACACACCAGTGACACCATGTCATCCAGGGGGTGGGGAGGGTAGTGTCCAGACACAGGGGCAGAGCCCTTTGGACCCACTGCTGATACAGCTTCACATTGGGAAAGTATGGGGTTGGGGTGGGCACAGCCCAGCCTTGGCTTTGGTAAAAGATTGCATAGCTTGTTAAACCCAGTCTCTGTTTTTGGTTTGGTTTGGGGTTTTTTTGCACTTAGCCCTGGGGGACTGGGGTGTCTGCCCAGCAAGTGGCTCATTCAGCCCCATCCCTCCTGCTAGGTTTTCCACCTTCCCCTCCTAGGGGGACAATGCTGTGTGAGATGAGGACTGGGCAAGGGCGTGGCTGAGAGGGTCCACGGGGTACTGAGGGTGGGCCACCGAGGCCCTAGGGAGGGTCCTGCTCTTCACAATCCGTCTGTTGCTCTTTTCCCCCCATTGCTCTGAAGTGTTTTATTTGTTCTTTTTTGCTGAAAGGGCCACAGGAAATGTCCACGGTGAGAATCCCAGAGGCCACTGCTCCTCTCCTGGAGCACTGGAGAAACCATACCTGCACCATACCAGCAGGCCGGAGGATTGCGTTCTAGGCGCCCCCTGCAGCCTTGGCAGTGTCCTCAGATTCGGATGTGGAAAGTGCTGTAGAGACAGAAAGCACAGGGAGGGTTGAGAGGCTGTGGGCTGGGCAGGAGGCTCTGCAGGGGAAAGCTAACCTAACCCTGAAGGGAAGCTGCAGGCGGTGACCACAGGAGACGCAAAGGGGCAGCTGTCCAGTTTCTAGTCCCCCATGCTGAAGGTCTAGACCACTCCTGCCCCCACCCCCACCCTCTACTCCCAATCCCGAGAGTCTTAATGCCTCCTGGGTACCATGGAAGGTCTTGATCCCTCTCATGATAGGAGGTCATGTAAGCGTCCTATCGTGCATCTGGGGAGTTAGGCCTTGACCAGGTACCTCAGGCCTGTATATATCATTGCCCATGGTGGTCCCACGAGACCAGGCAGTCGGCTGTGACCCTAACATTCTGGCCTCTCCCACCCGAGCCCAGCCCCTGTGGCAGCAGCACCTGAGGAAATCAGGGGCCTTGGCGATCATGTCCTCAAAGTCAGCGAAGCCCAGCTTGCCGTCCCCGTCCAGGTCAGCCTCCTCGATGACCTTGTCACACACGAGGACCACCTCGTCCTCATCCAGCTCTGACTTAGTGAGCTTGGCCAGTGTCAGCTCCAGGTCTTCTTTACAGATGAAGTTGTCAGTGTTGAAGTCTGTGAGGTCAAGTGGGATGAGAGGAGATGGTCAAGAGAGGGCTGAGCCCCTCCAGGGGCTTCAGTGGGGAGGGGTCCTTGCCCAGTATGACCCCTTGCTCCCAGCTGGCTGTCCTGATCTCTTTACCAGCCCCTGGAGTCCCCAGAGTATCTCTATGAACCCAGAGGACACTGGGGTCCATGTCCCCACTAACAAAAACCAACAGTTTCGCACCCAAAGCATATCTTAAATACCCACAATTAAACTGACGTTTGGAGAACCCACAAACCCCCCCCCCCACACACACACATACAGTGAGGGCGTCTACTGCTCAAGCAGTTCCAAACATGAGGCTCTCTCTGAGAATTTCCTATGAAAGCCAATTAGCCTTTCTGGCCTCACCCCGCAGTGAGCCAGGGAAGCCAGGACCCAGAAAGACCAAGTGCCTGAGTGCAAGTCAGAGATCCAGTCAGAGATGGGGCAAGGATTCTCACAAGGTCTCCGTGACTCTAAGACCCACACATTCTGAATGGCACCTCGCCTCCTCTGGTAGGCCTGCAGACACACATGGCTGACTCCTATGTCATGTTGTATGCAGTAAGCATGTACAACTTAATCTGTCAATTTAAAAAAACATAGAGGTCAAGTCAGGAGATACGGGATCTCCCTAGAGAGAGGCCAGTGCAGGAAAGGCTTTTGTGCATAAAGTAAGGGGCGCTGATGGGTCTCCTGGGCACTGTCACTATCAGCAGAGCCCGGGCCAGTGGTTCTGTGGGCTGAGCCATGTGCAAGCTCATCGTGATTAACTCCATCACCCTCACTCTCCTGGCAGAGCTGCCGGCTCCGTGCCCTTGGTTCCCGGTGCCCCCAATGCCTTCCCAGCAAATACCCACTTGCCTTCACATTCCTTCAAGCACCCTCTAGCTAGAAGGTCCCTCCAACTAGATGCCTGTTGCCCACTAGGCTGGCATAAATGGCAGTGGTGAGGGCCAAACTTAAACCATGCCTGTACTCCGCAGGTGAAGAGGCGGAGCTGGAGAGGACAAGGACCTCCCTAAGCTCACAACCCTGAACTGCCGCCACTGCCCCTGCCTGTCAAGACCTTCACGTGGGCATGGGTGGGATTTACGTCTCTCCTGAAGGGCCTGCAAGAGGGTCCATAAAAAGACCTGCTCTCTGGCTAGTGGGCTGGAGAGACTCCTGGGCCAATTTAACAGTAAGAAACTGAGACCTCCGCATGTTCTGCACTTTCTTCTTGTCGGAAGACAAGAGCCTTTTTCAGGCGCAGCACTGTGGGGTCCTAGACTGAAGGATAAAGGGTGCGATTTTAGAATCTACACTTATGAAGGGTGGACAGGCAGGGTCTGCTTTCTTATAGGGAAGCATATTGTGCACACCTTGTATCTAAACCAAAGTCCTTTGAAGTAAACACGAAATCACAAAAGTAGCAGACAGCGCTTGATAGGCGCACTGCTTGGACCTCCACCAGCTTCTCAGAGGTACAGGAAGGTTTGTGGTCTTTTCCTCTGGCTCAGTAAAATCAAGGCCCAATGGGTGAGCTGTGTGGAACCCTCCAATTAGCCGCGGGAGAATTGTGCGTACCCAGCGCCCTCTAGTGGCAGGTGGGTCAGCAGGCTGGGGAAATGGAAGGGCCCTACCTTTGGCGTGTGTGTGTGTGTGTGTGGGGGGGGGGGGGACTCTTAGGGATTTCCCTCCCTCCCTGGCTCATCATCATGTCCCAAGAAGTCTCCTGTCTGGCCCCCAGATTTAACCTGACTTTTCTAGTTTACAACTCCAAGTTTCCCAGTGATCTTTCTAGAACACAACTGCCCTTCCCCTGCCTGAAGCCTGCAGTGTCCTGGTTGTGAGCACTCGGCCCAAACTCCTCACAGCCTAGCTGGCTTCTCTGTACCTTCACGGATCCCTCCTCCCACCACATCCCACACCTTCTTTATCTCCAAAAGCCTTGCCACCTACTCTGTCAGGGTGTCTGTCCTCTTGTCCCCCCTGGTCCTCTAGTCCCCGGCCCAGTAGTCCTCACTCTAAACCCCACCAGGCTGGGCGAGTCTCTCTTCCTTTCGGAAGATGTGTCTCAGGCATGCTTTGTGCCCTCAAGGCGGCCATTCTTCAAAGGGTAGCCTTAGCGTACCCAGAAATCACTGGATGGCGCGATGGCTCATATGATGCTCACTTCAGCTCCACAGCTCCGCCCTGCTGCTCACCCTTCCTTACCATAGATCTTGAAGGCATAGTTTGCCTTGAGCTCTCGAGGCGCCGACTCACAGAGCACAGAGAACATGTCCACAAAGTCATTGAAGGTGAGGTTCCCTTCGCCATCCTCAGAGAAAGCTTCCACAATCCTCTCCTTGAAGGGATTCTCCTGAAGATAAACACAGCTATCACTGAGGGTAGGTGAGGCAGGGGCCACCTGCCAGTGTGCGGGCAGCCTGTGACAGCCTGCAAGTGTGGCCTCTGGAGTGAGGCCATGATCACGGCTACTTAACGGGTTGTGGGAGGAGTTGCCAAGTTCGAGTGTGTAAGGCACTGATCCGGGGCCTGGCTCAGCAAACATGCTCTCATGCTGCACAGAATTCCACATGAGCACAGGCTGAGCAGGGCCCGCATGCCAACTGTCTCATGTTTCAGAGGCACAGGAAAAAAAAAAAAAAAAAAAAAAAAAAAAAAAAAAGGCTCCTTCCCCCACCTACTGGGCTGTGTCCGGTGAAAGAAGACAACCGCTCCAGGAAGCCCTCAGGCCAAGCTAATTCAGACTAGACAGGTGAGAAATGGAAGTAAGGTCCCAAGATGTCAGATAATTGGACCAACGCAAGCAGCAAGAGGTGGTTCTGAGGCCTCCAGCCGCAGGGCCCATTTGTTCTCATTTCCAGCACTGCCTCTGCTCCTTCTGGTGATGCTGAATTGTCTAGACCCCACTCTCCTTCCATCACAGATGCTCAGCCTGGATCAGCCCCAGGGGCTGGAGACGAGGTCCCTGCAGTATTTCACATTCTCCATGAAACTCAGCCTGGTCCTCCACTCCATTGAGGACAGGCAGAGCTTTCCAAGGCCAACCCTGTGCTTGTCATCTCTCAGGACAGAGTTGGGATGCAGGCCCATCGAGATGCCCTGGGGCTTTCTTACTCTACTGTAAGCCATTCATGCCAGGCCTGCCGCGTCCCGCAGCACTGTGGGATCGTGCCAATGCTTTCCTATTGTGGGGCTGTCCTTTCTGTAGCCCATCCGAAGGAATCGAGAAGCTGTCAATGTGTTGGTGGCCTCCCTGGGAGCTGGCTGAGCTACCCCACATATCCCACAGCCAAACAGGCACTCTGAAAGATCCCCATGAGGTTCAAGTCCCAAGTGTGCTACTAGAGATGACCAAGAATCCATGACCAGGCATGGTGAAGAGGGGAACGTGGTCTGAAAGAGCAGCGCAGGGGCTGCTGCTACAGCCCAGGCTAGTCCATGGGGACACGCAGGTGGGCACAGGCCAGTGGCTGGGAAGTGGGCAGCTACAAATGCACAGTATACCTACCAAGCCCCATGCCCTCACATAACTCATTTATGCAAAGTGCATATCGGGAAACTGAGGCACAGAGTGCTCCAGTGGTCTCAAGGCAACATATTCACAGTGAGGAGAGGCAGGCTTCAGTCTGGAGCCGGACCTCTTCTCTTTGCCTGGATGTGGATTCCCCAGCAGTGGCCTCTCACATACCCGGAGCTCCGGCATCTGGATGATGAGGCTCATGGGCACGTGGACGATGGGACTCTTCCTGTAGTCCATCGGGACAAGGTTGGGGGCCAGCTCATAGAACCGTGCATGAAGCCTTTGGGAGAAGCAGAGGAAATGCACTAGAGGCTGCCAGCCCCGAGCCCCGTGACCCAGCGCTACCCTGTCTGGGCTTAGGGAAACAGTCCTTATCCGGATCTAGTGAGGGGCCAATAGGAGGCTGAGTGCTCTGTCCACAGAGGGCATAGCCTGGAGGAGACACGAGTTCTGCCCAAATCCCTGTGCTGATGACCCAACTGCCTGGGCCTCCTTGCTTCCAACACACAGACATACATGCAGCGAACCACTGTCCTCCCTAACTTCCTCTCTGTCCCCCAGCTGGGCGACTACCTCCCACCTCCCTCTTTCTCTGTCTCTCTCATCTCCCCCCCCCCCCCGACCTGATTTGGTCTTCTATGCTGTGCTGGCACGAGGGCTCATCAGGTGAAGGTGCTTCCTGTCAACAAACACCCTGAGTTTGATCCCTGAGACCCACATGATGGACGGAGAGAACCAACCCCTGCAGCTGTCCTATAACCTCCACAGGCACTCTCTCCGTCTCTCTGTCTGTCTGTCTCTCTTATACACACACACACACACACACACACACACACACACACACACCACGCAGGCATAAATAAATGTGATTTTTTTTTAATAAAAGGAATTTTGTATGTTCCACCAGGCATTGTGCTTGACACTTGTCACCTTAATGTCCTGCTCACCACTGTGCAGGCGACAGACACATTATGATCCCAGTGGGCAGCTAAGCAAACTGAGGACTGGGAAATTTGTCTGAAGCCCCAGAACTTTAAGGTCCATGGCTGGGACCTGAGAGCGGAAAGTCCAGAGCACAAACACAACCACGCCTTTGCCTGCCACAATCAGGTGGTCCTCCAGAGCTCCACCCCAGCTTCTGTCCTGAAGGCCAGTGGCTAAGGACACTCATCAGCCTTGACATCCCCCAGGAGCCCCTGTGAATGGGTCCTTACAACCTTCCTCCAACTGGGTTCATCAGGACCAAGCCTTCCAACCAAGCTATACCACCCTGGCTGCTGGCTCAGGTCCCCAGCTCCCCTCCCACACTCCTGCTCTGTACTCAGGAGGCTGTGTCCCACCTCGGTAAGCTGCTCAAGGTAGCCTTGAGGTGCTGCTGTATGGGCAGATGCAGGGGCCCTGGCTATGGCCAAGGCAGGCGATTTGCCTAAGGTGAGGCCCCAGACTAGAGCAGACTGGACCATGTATGACCTCACATCCCCTGGGCTGGATCTGCCCATCTACCTCAAAATCAGATCAGAAAAGGCCCTCTAAAGTGATTAAAATGCCCAGGTCCTCCCCTAGGACAGCAAATCCAGTGCTCAGCTGGGTTCCATCTGCCCCTGGTGTCTGGAGGATCATCTGGGTACAAGGTTAGTGACTGAAGCGGCCATCTACCGAGTCCCACATCTCCAGACTAGTCCTGTGTGGACACCCGTGCTCCCTTTAACTGCCAAACACCCCTGAGAAGTATGCATTAGTCTCCGCCGTCCAGATGGGAAAACTGAAGACCAAATTATTAAGTGCCCTGTATAAGGGTAGTGAAGGAGCAGTGAAGATGAGATTTGAACGCAGCATAATTACACGCGCTCGCACTCACACACACACACACACACACACACACACACACACACACACACACGTCGAGCCCCCTGGAAAACACTGCCTCTCCTAGAGCAGAATGTGTCCTGGATAAACAATAAGCTCAAAGCCACGGCTCATGCTCCAGGAACACATCTCCATCAAAGGACTCGAAGCCACAAGGGACAGAGTGGAAGGGGAAAAGCTCCAGATCCTCCCCTTTGTGCGGGAGGGGTCAGCAGACTGCAGGGTGGCCAGATCAAAGCTGGGGCTCTTTAAGAGGACGCTCAGATGTTCTGCTATTTCCTACCCTGAGGAATAGCGCTCTTCTTCTTTTTTTTTTTTTTTTTTTTTTTTTTTTTAATAACAGTCCTTGCACCAAAATTTGTATTTTGCACTTGGTATGCTTTTTGGAGGAGGCAGGGGCTGCCAGGGTCTCCCGTGTAGCCCGGCCTTGCAGACCTCGATCCGGCAGCCTGCAGCCTCCCCATGCTGAGGTTGCCATTCTTGGTTAATTCCTTCACTGGCAACAGGTCCGCTGTGTTTCTGATAGCCTTTTGGACTAGACCTTAACATCTACTCCCCTCCACCTGCGCTAGGGGTGACACTGAGTGTCTCTAGACATTAACATGTGCTCCCAAAGTTGTGGGGGTGGCTACGGCAGGAGCTTCAAGCCAGGCTGAGGTTGGAAAGGCACCTAAGGCACTCACTAGCTAATGGGGGGGCCTTGGGTAAATGGAGTGACTGCAGAGAATAACTTTCAGTCAGACATGGAGACCGGTCTGTCATTCATTTTCCATACTTGTGTGGATTAAATAGGACAGTGTTGATAGAACTGAAGCAGGCTAAGGACAGCTCAGTAAATAAAGTGAGGGAAGGACCTGAGTTCAATCTCCAGAACCTACGAAAGAAAGAAAGAAAGAAAGAAAGAAAGAAAGAAAGAAAGAAAGAA